TACCTGGTAATTCTAGAAATAAAATTACTATGTATTTACCATAACAAAAAAAAAAAAAAAAAAACTAAAAACAATGACGTTATTCATTAAATCTTACTAATATTTTTTTAACAATATATTACAAACAAAAAAAAAAAAAAAAAAAACTCTTTGAAGGTTGTTTTAACAATCAATTACTGTCTTTTTTTTTCTGTTTTTTTTGTTTCGATTCCCTTATTTAAATAATTTTTTTTGTAAACCTACATACGCCACATGAAAAAATAATATGTTTAATTAGAGAAATAAAAAAACAAAAACAAAATTTACAAATCGTTCCGCCATTTAAAAAAAAAACGAAAATGAAAATTTCAATTCCAGAATGATCTTTACAATGTTTAATTTAGAGAAGCCTTCGTATTTTTTAATTACTTATTTATAAATTTTTTTTATTATTTATTATTATTATTATTATCATCAAAAACTTACAAAAATAAAAAATTAATGCATAAAGAAGTTAATGTTAAACAAAAAAAAAAAGAAAGAAAATGTTTTAATTAATTTATTATATTTACACAGGTAATTGTTGCATTTTTTTTATTTATTTGTTTATAAATAAATATTTATTTAATAATAATAATAATAATTACTACAATGAAATTTTTCATATATATATATAAACGTACTATAATGTAATCAAATAATAATAATAATAATAAACTATGCAATAAAAAAACATTAACAGGTTCAATGCATGTAAGCACGAATAATTTTTTTTCTTTCTCTCTTTCTCTCTTTCTCTCTCTCTCTCTCTCTCTTTAGTGGAAATGAATGTTCTGACACTGAAACAAGTTAAGCTTTGTCAAGTCAGTTGGTAAGAAAACTCGAACCGAGAAGGGACTCCACATTACTTTTTTTTATTACAAATATATATTATTTTAAAGAAAACATTATACAAATATAAAATGGAACAATTTTTAAATATTCAATATAAACTTAGCAAATCTGAAAATTTCGATGAATACATGAAAGCTTTAGGTGAGTATTAAAATTATTAGTATTGCTTTTCTAATAATGGGGAGGGAAAAAAACTCAAATGGAAAATTATCGAAGCGAAGCGTTGCATTTTTTTGTTAACCGTTTTTTCATTAATACCGGTCAATTTTTTTTTTTCCCTCCTACGTAATTCAAATTTAATTACAATTAAATTTGTCGCATTTTTAATTTTTTTTTAATTTATTTAAAATAATAATAATAATAATAATAATATATTCGAGTTTGAATCGAGTATGCGCGTGAGCGTGTGCGCGTAGAAAGGGTAACCGTCGCGAGGTGGTTGGTGATTGATATTTCCCTCCGCGACCGAAAAAATTTAATTACTCTATGGAATTTTTAAAAAAAAAAAAATTAAAATCGATCTAAATAGTGAACTAATGGTAATTTTATTCCATTCACCTAAATGTATTAATTTTTTTTTTTTTTTTTAAATAAAGAGCTAAACAATAAGAGCATTATTAACGTTAACGATTATTTAAATTTTTTTTTTTTTGTAAAGGAAAGTCTTTATCAATAGATCCTTTAATCGCGTGATAAAAAAAAAAAAAAAAACTTTAATTTTATTCTCTTATTTTCCCGTACACACGAATTAATCTTACATTATTTTTAACGGAACATTATTATTATTATCATAATGGCTCTTATAGAAATTTAAAAACAAATTATTCGGTAAATATAATGAAAAAAAAGCATCTTTACTTATCTACAAGCAATTAAATATCAAATGCATAGATAATCGATAATAATGATAATCAATTCTAACTCGATTGATTTGGTTTAGACGAAAAATTTTAACGTGTTTGCTAAATTTTGTAATTATTCAAATTAAGTGAAACGACGAATGTAAAAATTATAAAAAATAATTAAATTCCATTATTATTATTACTATTATTATTATTATCACTACTATTACCACCACTACTTGTAATTTACATATATGCATTCACTCATAACTTTTCAACGTTTACTCTAATCAAATTTTTTTTTTTTTTATTGTCATTATTGTATGATCCAATCAATAAAAGTCACTTTGAATTTAATAATAATAATAATAATAATAATAATAATAATAATAATAATAATAATAATAATAATAATTTAAAATTGATTGTCAAAGAAGAAGAAGAAGAAGAAGGTGATAATAATAATAGAAGAGAGAGAGAGTGAGAGAGAGAGAGAGAGAAAAATTTAATTTATTTTTATCCTAACCTTTGATTTTAATTAATTTTTTTTTTTAAATAAAATTGCATTCATTGTTGATCATGATTTTCCTTTGACAAAAAAATAATTTTTTTTTTTAAATATAAATATGGAAGCGGTTGATATTACAAAAAAAAAAAAAATTTTAAATATCAACGTTCAAAGTCCAGTGGACTTAATTTATTATTATTATTATTATTATTATTTTCAAACTTGGGTTGTTTGCTTTCGGAGGAGAGTATTTGTATGAGATAAATATTGTTAAATAAGAAATATTATTAATAAGTACATATTTATTTATTTATAAATTTTTGTTTGACAGGTGTTGGGTTGGTCACTAGAAAAATGGGAACTGCAATGACACCCGTTGTATCATTAAGTTTAAAAGATGGAACCTATACTTTGACCACGAGTACAACGTTTAAAAATCAAGTTGTAACGTTTAGGGTAAAATATAACTAAATTAAGAAGACAATTTTTAAAAAAATTTAATAATAATTTTTCCTAAATGATTTAAAAAAAAAAAAAAATTTTTATTTAGCCTAACGAGGAATTCGAAGAAGAAACATTGGATGGAAGAAAAGTCAAATCCATTGTAAAATTTGATGGAAATAAAATGATTCAAACGCAAAAAGACAGCGTTGGAAAAGTTATTTCTATAATCGAAAGAGAATTTTCAAAAAATACTATGACGACGGTTCTTACAGCTGGAGATGTTGTTTCCACAAGAGTTTACGAAAGAGTAGGCAATTAAGTCGAATAATAATAATAATAATAATAATAAAAGAAACGGTTTTTTATATAATACATCACTGATATCTCAGGCTATAAAAAATATAATATATATGAATATATTTAAAGACTGAATTAGTATTATTTGTCTCATTTTTTTTTTTTATTTTTTCCTAATCAAACACTTTTTTTTTAATTAATTAATTTAATAATATATGTTGTAAGAAAGAAATGGGTAAAAAAAAAAATCGATTACGTTAATAATTCCAGTCGAATAATATATATTGTTTAAATAAAATGTTTTGTTAAATTAATTTGCCATAAACCACTACGGAAAAATGAACTTACAACGACTGAGCAGAGTTTAACACTGAAGTACATGTTTTTTAATTTTGTAACAGCGGAATGTTTTGAAACTTTAGAGCCAATTAAAAAAATTGTTTCTAAAAAATTAAGGTTTTTGAACTTCGTAATATTAGTTTTGTACTACTGATATTTTTGACGTGAAAAAATTTATCGATCGTATATTTTTGTACAATCAAATAAAAACTGTTTGTGTGTATTTTTTTTTTTTATATTTTTTTTTTAAAGGGAAAAAATTTAAGTTTTTTAGTAATCTAAAATGGGAGCCGCATTGGGTGTATTTTCTTTAGGTAAATATTCGACAAAAAATTGTTTATCTTAATTGTCAGCCATTGTTTTGGTATTTGTCAAATCTCACACTTTATTTCATTTAACCTTTTAAAGGTTTTTTTTTTTGTTTTTGTACCTGTATGTCATGAAGAAATAATTATAAAATAATCAATGTTGATATTTTTCCTTACCTTTTACAGCCCAATTAATATGCTGTTCATCTAGTATAGCATGTTCCCTTTGCAAATGTTGTCCAAGTTGTGGCAATTCTGTTGCAACTAGAATCATGTACGGTATTATGCTATTACTTGGAGCTATAACAGCTGCTATAATGCTGGCACCAGGTCTGCAGGATGGCCTGAAAAAGGTAAAAAATATTTTAAATACTTATAAGATTATGACCTTATGTAATTAGTCATATAAATTTTTATAATAATATGGATTTAAATGAATTATTTTTCTAGGTTCCTTTTTGTCAAGAATCTAATTCAAATAAAATAGTACCGTCGTCTTTATCTTGGGAATGTGATAATGCTGTTGGTTACCCTGCTGTCTATCGTTTGTGTTTTGCCCTAACCTGTTTTTTTACTCTTATGTGTATCATTATGATAGGGGTAAAATCGTCTAAAGATCCAAGAGCAGCTATTCAAAATGGATTTTGGGGAATGAAATATTTAGTTTTAATAGGAATTTGCGTTGGTGCATTTTTTATTCCAGAGGGAGAGTTTGCATCTGTTTGGATGGTATTCGGTATGATTGGTGGCTTTTTATTTATTTTAATTCAGCTGATTTTAATTGTTGATTTTGCTCACAGTTGGGCTGAGCGTTGGGTAGGCAAATACGAAGAAACAGAATCCAAATTTTGGTATATTGCTTTACTGACAGTTACCTTTTTATTATTTACCATTTCTATTATAGGAGTTGTACTCCTCTTTATTTACTTTACCAAATCAGATGATTGTATGCTTAATAAATTTTTCATTTCCTTTAATTTACTCCTTTGTTTCTTTTCAAGTATTGTAAGTACACTACCTAAAGTCCAAGAATACCAACCTAAATCTGGTTTGTTACAAAGTTCAATTGTCAGTGCCTATGTTATTTACCTAACATGGTCAGGTATTTCTAATTCGCCTGTAAAAAATTGTAATCCTGGTCTTTTACCATTTATCTCTCAAAATAATGGAACTGATGTTTTTGACAAAGAAAGCATTGTGGGATTAATTTTGTGGATTTTGATTGTAATTTATTCATCTCTTCGCTCTGGATCAAGCTCTAACAAAATGGCTGTGTCTTCGGATACTGAAAATGTAGTGGTTTCAGATAATGACAGTAAAGAAAAAGATGATGAAAAAGAAGAAATAACTTACAACTGGTCATTTTTCCATTTTGTATTTGCATTAGCCAGTTTGTACATAATGATGACCCTTACAAATTGGTACAGACCTAATTCGACATTAAAAACACTTAACGCTAATTCAGCCTCCATGTGGGTGAAAATAGTATCCAGTTGGTTGTGCATTCTTTTGTATATTTGGTCAATGATTGCTCCTATGTTACTTCAAAATAGGGATTTTACTCCAGTTTAGGTTTCACAATTTGTTAATGCAGAATAAAATATGATTCATTTCATTTAAAAAAAAATATTTGAAAATTACAAAATTGCTTTGATGAAAGCCGAGCTTTAAATGTCAAGTAAATTTTAATAATCGCTCGAGTCAATCTAATTGTTTCGAATATTGGTGTTACCAAAAAAAAAAGCTGAAATGTTGCAATTAGTAGAAAACTTGCCTCCATTAATTTTGTTTAATTATCACAAATGCTTACTAATTATGTAGAACCATACTTATTTATGTAGTATATACATATTTTTTTTTTTTTTAAAGATGTGTTATACGTATTTATATTTTAAAAAATTTTTTTTTTTTAAAAAAAAAATGTCTTATTTCATTTTTTACTATGATCAAATGGAAACAACAGAAAAATACTTTAAGTTAACTTTTCATTTGTAATAATTATTTTCCGAACAAAATAAAACCCACACCATTAATTTTTAATTGGCTTTTCTTTTTTTTTTTTTTTTTTTTTTTTTCAAATTTTAAGAATATGTATTGTTAATAAATTAATTTTTTAAAATTTTTATTACACAATAAAAAAAAAATTTTTAAAAGTATAATATTTAAATTATTTATAATTACCTGATCCATAATACGATTTTATGATCCCTGGATTATATTTTCAATTTAAATTATACTTGACCCTAATTGCACATGTAATGTCATTAGTTGTTAGTGATTAATTAAATTTATATAACTATGTGAATATTATTATACACTTTGAGAGAATTAAATAAAAAAATAGTATAAGAACATGATTCACTTGTCAATTTACA